AATAAACTCTTATACATATTTATGAAGTCCAAAATTAACTCTTTTATACATATTACTTATACATTTCTTAGATAATCTAAAATAAACTCTATTATACACATCTTGTGACTTTATTGGATAAAAAATATATTTTTATATAACTTATATTGAATAATCTAAAATTAGAAATACGAACTGTGAATTACAATACATATAAATAAACTGTAGTTTATTTTAAAACTACAGTTAACTACAGTTTTACAATTAACTACTAGTTTACAGATCGTACCTCTACAAAATACATCGAAGAGATCGAATTCATATTTTGCTCATCAAGTTCTATTTTTTCATACTTTTCATTTTTAACTTGCTAGTAATTTGCATTGTCCGGAATCCATAATTCACGTTTACAAAATGAAGATGCGGCTTTTGAATTATATCGATAAAATAGGTTTTTTTAATCCTACCTAATCGCATATATTTATCTTTACTACTAAATCTTCTGTATATTTGTACATGACCTGTAGATCCAGTATTTTGATGGTGAAATCTGCGTTGCATCTCAGGTTTTACCTAATTTAGATTGCCTGATGTTTTTTTTTAAAATATATGCAGATATATTCTTTAAATTATGTTGATGAATTTTCATGTCTCGAATATGCTTTTATAATTTCTCAGTCTAATGTTATCACACAAAATATTGCTACACAAACAACTAAATTTAAAGTTCTCAAGATAAACTTATTTGGATCTACAATGCTTAAAGTATCCAATATACTAATAATATCTAAAAATGCAGCTAAAATAATCCGTATAATAAACCAGAAAAGAACTGCATTAATAGCCTTATCCGATCTGTCCAAGATAAAAGAATTAAAAGAATTATCTCTATTATGTAAGTATTTCTCTTTTAATAAAATTTGAAAAAATCGAAGAGCAACATAGATTTCAATAACAAAATCAGCATTTATGAAGCCCAAAACCACGATATGATTTTCATAAAATACAAGGTTGCACACAATTTGGAATTCTTTACCGAAATTTAAGGTGTTTCTTAGATGAAGAAACAAAACCTGTGCAAACTAATATAATGAAATATTATTTAGAACTTTAGTTTAGAATAATTTAATTCTACTTATTTTAATACTACCTGAAATAAAATTCTCGTTGTCAAAAGCACCATACTAATTATATTATCCAACATACGTTTTTCATCAACTTGGTTAATCTTTTTAGCCTCCATAGCAAAAATGATGCTAGAGAAGTTCTGTATATAAAGTTTATGATTGCATTTATGTATTTAATAATTTCACAATTTGAAGTTAATATAAGGTAAATAAAATTAAAAGTATACTTCAATCCACCACTAAAGTTGAAAACAAATTTAAGAAAATAAGTTATTTTTTTCTTTTATAGTATTGAATTAAAGTTACTAGTGAGTTATGATAAAATATTGCAACTCCTAAACCAGATAAGAATG